AGAGGAGGTGAAAAAAAAGCGTCAGAAAACCTATCATCAGGGATGTTTCTATTACCCTCTTTCATGGAATCATAGATCATTTAGGTTGAAAAAGACCTTTAAGATCATAGATTCCAACCATAAACTTAACACTGCCAAGTCCACCACTAAACTATGTCCCTACGTGCCACATCTACACGTGTTTTAAGTACCTCCAGGGATGGTGACTCAACCACTTCCTGGGGCAGCCTGTTCCAATGTTTGACAATCCTTCTGGTGAAGAAATTTTTCCTAATATCCAATCTAAACCTCCCCTGGCACTTAAGGCTATTTTCTGTTGTCCTACCACTTGCTGCTTGGGAGAAGAGAAGGCCCCCAATTTTGCTCAACCTCCTTTCATGTAGTTGTAGAGAGCGATAAGGTCTCCCCTCAGCCTCCTCCTCTCCAGACTAAACAACCCCACTTCCCTCAGCCGCTCCTCGTAACGTCTGTTCTCCAGACCCTTCACCAGCCTCGTTGCCCTTCTCTGGACATGCTCCAGCACCTCAGTGGCTTTCTTGCAGTGAGGGGCCCAAACCTGAACACAATATTCAAGGTAAGGCTTCATTGGTGCCAAGTACAGTGGGACAATCACTTCCCTGGTCCTGATGGCCATGCTATAGCTGGCCAGGGTGCTATGGGCCTTCTTGGCCACCTGGGCACACCGCTGGCTCATGTTCACCCGGCTGCTCACCAGCATCCCCAGGGCCTTTTCCGACGGGTAGCTTTCCAGCCACTCACCCCCAAGCCTGTAGCGCTGCGTGGGGTTGTTGTGACCCAAGTGCAGGACCCGGCACTTGGCCTTGTTGAACCTCATAGCATTAACCTCAGCCCATCGATCCAGCCTGTCCAGATCCCTCTGCAGAGCCTTCCTGCCCTCGGGCAGATCAACACTCCCACCCAATTTAGTGTCATCTGCAAACTTACTGTGGGAGCACTCGATCCCCTCATCCAGGTTATTGATAAAGATGTTAAACAAGACTGGCCCCAGTACTGAGTCCTGGTGGACACCACTTGAACCTGACCAGCTGCCAACTGGATTTAACTCCTTTCACCACAAGCCTTTAGGCCTGACCATGCAGACAGTTTTTTACCCAGCAAAGATTTAGTGTCATCTGCAAACTTACTGTGGGAGCACTCGATCCCCTCATCCAGGTTATTGATAAAGATGTTAAACAAGACTGGCCCCAGTACTGAGTCCTGGTGGACACCACTTGAACCTGACCAGCTGCCAACTGGATTTAACTCCTTTCACCACAAGCCTTTAGGCCTGACCATGCAGACAGTTTTTTACCCAGCAAAGACGACGCCTGCCCAAGCCATAAGCAGCCAGTTTCTCCAGGAGAATGCTGCGGGAAATGGTGTCAAAGTCTTTACTAAATCTAGGAAGACAATACCCACAGCCTTTCCCTCATCCATCAGGCAGGTCATTTTGTCATAGAAGGAGATCAGATTAGTCAAGCAGGACCTGCCTTTCATAAACTCATGCTGACTGGGCCTGATCACCTGGTTGAACTGTACATGCTGTGTGATGGCACTCAAGATGATCTGCTCCATAACCTTCCCCAACACCAAGGTCAGGCTGACAGGCCTGTAGTTCTCCAGATCCTCCTTCTGGCCCGTCTTGTAGGTGGGCACCACATTTGCTAATCTCCAGTCAACAGGAACCTCCCTGGTTAGCCAGGACTGCTGGTAAATGCTGTAAGGTGGCTTGGTGAGCACTTCCACTGGTTCCTTCAGTACCCTTGGGTGGATTCCATCCAGCCCCATAGACTTGTGTGTGTCTAAGTGGTGTAGCAGGTTGCTAACCATTCCCCCTTGGATTATGGGGGCTTCATTCTGTTCCCCATCCCTGTCTTCCAGGTCCGCAGGCTGGGTGCCCTGAGAAGAACTGGTCTTACTATTAAAAATGGAGGCAAAGAAGGCATTAAGTACCTCAGCCTTTTCCTCATCCTTTGTTACTATGTTTACGCCAACATCCAACAAAGGCTGGAGATTCTCCTTAGCCCTCCTTTTGTTGCCAGCCAACGTAGTCATAGAAACTTTTCTTTTTCTTTTACTGCAGTAGCCGGATTAAGTTCTAGTTGGGCTTCAGCTCTTCTAAATTTCTCCCTGCATAACTTCACGACATCCTTGTAGTCCTCCTAAGTGGCCTGCCCCCTTCTTCCAAAGGTCATAAACTCTCTTTTATTTTCCTGAGTTGCAGCTGAAGCTCTCTGTTCAGACACATTGGTCTTCTTCCCTGCCGGCTCATCTTTTGGCATATAGGGACAGCCTATTCCTGAACCTTTAAGATTTCCGTCTTTCCTTCCAACCTTTCTGGACTCCTTAGCCCTTCAGCACTGCCTCTCAAGGGACTCTGTTAACCAGGCCCCTAAACAGGCCAAAGTCTGTCCTCTGGAAGTTCAAGGTGGCAGTTCTGCTGATCCCTCTCCTTACTTCTCCAAGAATCGAAAACTATCATTTCGTGATCACTATGTCTAAGATGGCCTCCAACCATCACACCACACGCAAGTTCTCCTTCTCTGTTCGTAACCAGGAGGTCCAGTGGGGCACCTTCGCTAGTTGGCTTATTTGCCAGTCATGTCAGGAAATTATCTTCCACAAGCTCCAGGGACATCCTAGACTGTTTCCTCTTTGCTGCATTGTATTTCCAGCAGACATCTGGAAAGCTGAAGTTGCCTATGAGAACAACGGCTAGCGATCATGAGACTTCTCCCAGCTGCTTATAGAATATTTCATCTGTCTCTTCATGCTGATTGGGTGGTCTATAACAGACTCCCACCATGATCTCTGCTTACTGGCTTTCCCCCTAATTCTTATCCATAAACACTTGACCCTTTCATTACCAACATCAAGCTCTAGACAGCCAAAACACTCTCTAACATACAGGGCTACCCCACTGCCTCTCTTTCCTTGCCTACCCCTTCTGAAGAGTTTATAGCCATCCATTGCAGCACTCCCGTTGTGTGAGTCACCCCACCACGTTTCTGTGATTGCAACTATATCATAGTTTTCCAGCTGCACAATGGCTTCCAACTCCTCCTGTTTGTTGCCCATGTTGTGTGCATTGGGGTAGATGCACCAGTTGGGCTATTGAACCTGCCACCTTTTTGTGGGGTGAAGCCCTAATTCCTACATGGCCATTCTCAGGCACTTCTGTGGTTTCTAACAGATCAATAACCCTTGTGTCTTTGCTGCCTCATGGATCTCCATCCCCTGCTTCCGCTGAGATGGCAGACCGAAGAACCTCACTAGCACACGTCCCTCAAACATTGTCATGCCACCCCCAGGCTTTTCTCTAGTGAGCCTGATTTTAACCCTCTCTCCCTTCAAATCTAGTTTAAAGCTCTTTCAATGAGCCCTGCTAACTCCTGTGCAAGGATCCTCTTCCCACTTTGAGAGAGGTGTACCCCATCTGCTGCCAGCAGGCCTGGTGGCATGTAAACTGACCCATGATCAAAAACCTAAAATTCTTCCAGTGACACCAAGCTCGGAACCAGTTATTGATCTGCTGGCTCTTCCTGTTTCCTCCCTCATCATTCCCTGCAACTAGAAGGGTAGAGAAGAACACTACTTGCGCTCCTCATCCCTTAACCAGTCACCCCAAGGCCTTGCATTCTCTCTTGATTGCCCTCAGACTTCTTATTGCAACTTCATTGCTGCCTACCTGAAAAATCAATAATGGAGAGTAATCTGAGGACCATACCAGGGTAGGAAGCTTTCTCTTCACATCTTTAACCCAGGCCCCAGGGAGGCAGCAGACTTCCCTAAAAAGTGGGTCTCGTCTGCATATTGGGCTTTCTGTTCCCTTCAGAAGGGAGTCTCTTATGACAATGACCCATCTTTTTTTATTCATGGAAGCAGATTTGGCGCAGAGCATAGGCCAATGTAACCTCGGTGACGCCTCCAACCTAGATGAACTGTCATCCTCATCACTGTTTGGTTCCACCTGCAGAGCCTCATACCTATTACACAAGGGCACCTGGGAAGGTGGGGTAGACACAGAGGAGACGCACCTGCTGTGCCAGGCAGGAACTTGTCGCCATTGCCCCCTATCCCTTGAGTCACTGTGTTCAGCCAGCCAGGGAGGAGACAGGGAATCCTCCATATCATGCATCCTGTCTGCCTGTTGGGCCTGTCCCAGGGAAGGTAGGGTGCGACTCCAGTAGTCTGTCTCTCGCACTCCCTGATACTCCTCGACCTATTCACCTCCTCCAGGAGCTCAGTCACTACACAGACTAAGGACTTCTCTCCTGGGACACACTTCCCACTGGTGTGCTCACTGCTGCCTTAGGGCACACCCTGCAGCTGGACACCTAGCTGGCAGTGTGTTTGCACTAGAGCTCTGGCTGGGTGGCTGTGCCAATTTCGGTTACACCGCGTTTAAAATCTCCCGCCATGGCTCCTGGCCCCACCCAGGTCCCATCTCCCACTGTCACATGAGCTGTGGGCTCCTGGCAGGTCTCTCAGCTCCACCTGAGGTTGCCCCAGCTGAGGAAGCCCCTGTGCACCATGCTGGAACACTCCGCTGTGGATCATGCTGGCACCGGAGCTACTCGTCTCAGCAACTGAGTGCTAGTTGTGGTTACACTGCATTCCTCTCCCTTCATTTTGTTTTTCCTCTTTCCATAATTCTTACTGTTCTCCATTGCTTTTTTCCCACTCTCCTTCATATCACCCAGTATATAGCTGGAATTGTCTCCCATTTCAAGGCACATTTCTGCCTTTCATTCCTCAGGAGAAGATATTAAGGCAAACTCATCCAGATAAGGTACTTGGATAAAATTTTCTAATCCAAATAAATTAAATTTATTTTACCCAGACTTGTGCTAAACATTCTCCAGCACACCCCCAGAAATGCTGCTCTGACAACTTAAGAGGAAGGCTATTTTTGTTGTCATTCCTTCCTTGGCTAGGAATGCCTATCACTAACTTCAGATCATTGTAAAACTCATAGATGTATATTTAAGTACTCTTACCTGATTAAATTCTGGCACACCTGGCATCCTGCAGGACACCTGTGATAAAAGATGGATAATTAATACACGCTTCTATAAAAGAAAACATCTGTAATGGTATTCATAAAGTACTAATTCACCTATGAAAAAATTCTCATTAATGGCATTAAAGGCTGTGTTCTGCACTGACCCCTAGAAGACGTACTGGTGTCCTAGGTTACAGTGTAAAAGGTGCCAAAAGAAAAAAAGTATTCTATTACCATCTTCAGGAGCTGTTGAGACCAGGTGGGGCGGTGCTCCCTGCCTCCCCCCTCTGGACTATCTCCTGTCAATGGGCACAACAATGCCTTATCGCCTGACCCATCG